AACACAAACCCGCCAAGCCAGACATGAAAGAGCTGAACTAACCGACCTTTTATTTTTCCATACCGTAACATAAACCTGGCAAGCTAGACATGGTAAAACTGAACTAACCGACTTCTTATTTTCCCATACCGTAACACAAACCTGACGAGCCAGACATGACATAACTGAACTAACCAACTTTTTTTTTTTCCCATACCGTAACACAAACCCGCCAAGCCAGACATGAAAGAGCTGAACTAACCGACCTTTTATTTTCCCATACCGTAACATAAACCTGACAAGCTAGACATGGTAAAACTGAACTAACCGACTTTAAATTTTCCCATACCGTTACACAAACCTGACGAGCCAGACATGAAATAACTGAACTTACCAACTGTTTATTTTTCCCATACCGTAACACAAACCCGCCAAGTCAGACATGAAAGAGCTGAACTAACCGACCTTTTATTTTCCCATAAAGTAACACAAACATGACAAGCCAGATATGAAATAACTGAATTCAACGAAATACGTTTCCAGACGCTTACCAATTTCTTTTTTTCCTTTTCACAGTTGAAAACGCAAAAGTAAGCAAGAGTACAAGGTTATTGGCCACCTTACACACCAACCAACACCAACCAACACGAAAACGGAAACGAAGCATAAATATAGACACAGCAATCCCTTTGGTCAACTGTGCGATGCACATGAAGGTTGGGAACTCGTGGTGAGATAACTGTAAAACATTACCGGTTCCCATGGGGCGGTGGGAATCTGGTCAGACACTATCCTGAATTCTCCGCAAGGAGAGGGGTGGATAATGCAAGACAAAATGTCAGACCTAACATACTCAAGAACCTTGTTTTCAAATGACCGACCAAATGACCCAAAAGAGAAGGAGCACCAAGCGGTACGTAGATATCTTGAAGCTTGAAGGATAGACGCCGGTACAAAGTGTGGGGGGATTGTTGGTCAAGCTTTCGGCAGCGAAGGTCTACTCGGGAACGTTAGTGGGGTAGCTACCCATGGTGTACCGTACAAACGTTGATGACCATAACTCATTTATCAACCCTGGGTCGACTTAGACCGCCATCAGGGAAGGTAGTGCTCTCTGGCGTCTACGAGGAGGATATTTTTATGTCTGTATGTCATAAAAATCAAGGAAGAGACGGACATCCCGATGTGTGAGTGAGACCTTCTGTTATGCAAGCCACCCTTGAACCCTACGTGGGGAAAATGACCTCCCCGGAGGAAAGTACCCAGTACAGCAGCTGGGGCAAGTAGAGAGAAGATACGGTCGTGGGACGCTTGGGTTGGTTACCATGCAGATCGCCTGGCACAAACTTGGGGTACTTGTGCTAAGGGTGTTGAACTTGGCTCCAGGCTATGAGCCCATGTTGGAGGCACTTTTTAGTGTCGGTGAGCCGGCAAAAGAATTGAAAGACACCAGACCCTCAACAAGTACTAGGATTGGGAAGTCCCAGTAATTTAAAAGCATCCCACTTCAAACAAAAACAACGAGATAGTCTCGAAAGAGATAAGGAGGGAGACGACAAGGCACAAAGGGTGGAGAAGGAGAGAATGGAAAGGTGCAGTACTGGTAGTGTTGACATTTGGGGTCAAAAAGGACATGACAAGGTTTGAGTTCAAAAGTATATGTGAAGAAGTAGGATTATATTGCTTCGCACGAGGGGGGGTAGAAAGGGAAGGAAACCACTTTAGAATCACGTTTGGAAGGAGAGTAAGCGCAGAATGGGAAAGACTGGAAGTAGAGAAGGTGTCGGCGTGGGTGAGGAGACTAGGTTAGAGGGTGTGCATAGCAAATAAGATCCAGGAAGTAAGGGGTAGCCCAAGGCTGGCTGAAAACAAAGGGGGGCAGGAGGTTCGAAAGAATCAAAAGGGAAATCAAGCCAAAGTAGGGGAAGGGGGGAGCAGGGAAAGGATAAGGCAGAAGGGAAGGCGAACGAGGGACAGAAGGAATCCTGAAAGGCACGGGAAAGTAGAAAGTAGGAGTAACGAAATCAGACTAGGGTCTTGGAATGTATGCGGGTTTGCCACAGNACGAAATCAGACTAGGGTCTTGGAATGTATGCGGGTTTGCCACAGATGAGCGTAAAAGACTCGAAATTGCCGAGCAAGCAGCCGAAAAAGACCTGAGCATAGTCGGAGTCCAAGAGTCGTGGGAGAAGGACGGGGGAGAAATAGGAA